AGAGAGAGAGAGAGAGAGAGAGAGAGAGAGAGAGAGAGAGAGAGAGAGAGAGAGAGAGTATGAATACAAACCGAGTGGGAAACAATCATAAAATGTCAGGCAACCTTGTCCAGGGAAGTTCCGACTTAAAAGCCGAGTGATCGAAATTCGCACTTGAAGATACAAATTTAAGGACAAAAGAAAAGGAAACACTTCTGCCATAAGATTTCACCATAGCCCCAGGCCATACACTCACTCACTTCTGACTTGAACCTCGAACATTTCACTTGCACTAACGATCCCGGCCGTCACATGCCAGTTCCACCATAGCAATCGTCACCCCGCTGACTTAGCCTCAACACGGCCCTACTCGGATCCCACAGTCCGTCGGGCGATCCAGCATACCGACCGTTCAGACTACAGCCAGCTCATCGGGACTTTTCAACTCGCACCTTCCTTCATACCATCTAGCCACGGCTTCCCGGAAGCGGGCCGATGAGTCGAGAGAGAGATTTTCGGGAGCACTTGCGAAATTTATAGTTGCGGAAAAGAAGATAGATGCTAGGAGCGGTTAGGACTGAGACAGGGCGGAGTAGGGGAGGGCTCAGGGATTGCCCGACGAAAGCCATGTCGACCCTTTGGATCCCAGCTGCAGCCAACCAGAATCGTCGTGTATCAGGAATTTCCTTCTTACACGGTGCGTCTCCTTGACTAGGGGAAGTGAAAGGGGGTCGATAGAGTATTTCGGCGCGGGGATCAGATCGGGAAGAAGAAGAGCGCAAAGAAGAGCGCGAAACGGAACCAAGATTCGGACGATCAAGAAGAAGAGAAAAGGTGCGCAAGGTCGAGGGAGAGATGAAAACGGTTACAGAGAGAGGAGCGTGAGCGTGAAGAGGAGAGTGTCGAAGGCAGCGTGGGAAGCGGGGAGGGGAGACTCGCATGCATGGCGCCGACGCGGAGGCAAAAAGGGCACCAAAACAGTTACAGCTATTTCAAATTGAAAAGTACCATATCTGCGCGGTAGAGAAGGCGCGAGAGAAAAATCCTATGCCTATTCAGACTCCTACGAAAGTTCCCAGAGTTTTCCAAAACGAGGTTAAAAACATTCAAGCGCAAGAAAGGACACGTCAGATTCCGATTATTTCGAAGTTCCTAACTGTCGTCCCAAATTCCTAGCGTGCTCACTAAGCCGCGCGTAATTCTCATGTAATTCCCAAATTTGCAAAAGACAAATTTCAAAAATTGATCCAAGGGTCCCACATATTACATTCATGAAAATTTAAAAAGAGGCCTCGTTGGATGGTCACCCAAAATTTCAACAAAGAGAAAAAGAGAGGGGGGAGGGGGGGCGAAAGATGGCGCAGGTCCGGGAACTAGCGCGTCACACACCAGCGCTAGGCCAGGGCAAACCTCTCCCAGCCCAAGTTGAAGCACTATCGAGCGAGCCTTGTCGCACGGGCACTTCGATCGCCAAGCATGGTCGTTCTTTTGTTTTTTTTTTCCTATGAGCACCAACCCAGGTTGGTCAGACCGCGAATATTCCTTAATTCCTTCCCAAGGCAGTGTCTACTGGCTCTACCCTGAGCAAGGTCTTACCTGAGACAACCCTTCTGACCCAACCCGGGCGCCATGTTCCTAGCATCGTGGATTCAACTCCCATTACC